GTCCCATCTTTGTTCTTGCAGATTTTTGCAGAGAGGTAGTAGGAGAGAAAGGAAAGATCCCAAGTACTTTCTGTAATTTAATTACGGTAATTTGTTTTAACAGTAGGGATAACTCAGCTGGTTCAGTTGGTTTGGTTGTGTGTGAATTAATTACATTAGAGTAAAATCACATTTTAAAGTTAAAAGAAAAATCTAGATTTAAATTGCGAGCCTTATGCTGGATGTTTTGCCTAAACAGCAAAGACAGYTCTCAAGTAATGTTTTCAGTTTAAAATATATAATTTGCCTTTGACTTCATTTTTAACGTAAACTGATGCTTTAAAAGCAATTAACAACAACCTCTAACTGGGAGGAAAAACATCCTTCTAATCACAGACTTTGGCGAAAATAGTAGTTAACAAAACTTTTTTCTGTTGTATGGAAAGGAAGTCACATGAAGGAAACATTAGTTAGTCATTCTTAAAATTGATCACAACACATTAAGAGGAGATTTGGATGAGAGGGAAGGCAGAATCCAGACTTGGAAATGTTTATTTACTGTTGCACTTCTACTGACTTCAGTGATTATATCTATAAATAGATATTAATAGGCAAGTCTTCACATCAAGCTCAACAAGTACATTTCATTGCATTTCCTATTTTAAATCTTCTGTGAAGRAGAGGGACGAGATCAATTTGATTGGGGATCTTTCTTCAAAGAATTGCAAATGTGAAAATTTTTATATAGTTAGAAGGAAACCAGAGTGTTATGYATTGCTCATATTCAGAAACTGGAATATGAGCTACACAGCATGAAGAGTGATACTAAAACCCAGAAATAAAGTCATTTTGATAAAGTAGATGTAAAAATTCCCTTTGTCCTGAAGTTTAAAACTAAAATGTAACATGTTCCATTCATCAAGAATGAACTACCCCTAACCCTGTTTTACAGCATTAGGGATGAGATCACTTGATTGACCATATCACAAATGCATGCTATTTCATAGTATGCCAAAATAAAGTATGGCATGTTTTGTTTTGTTTTTGGTTTTTTTTTTTTTCCCATCAATTCACAGCCACTGAATATGTGATTTATATGTTTCATATAAGTTTAAAAGTTTAAGAAAATGCTTTGCTGATTTTCTTGATATGGTCTGTCAGTTGATAGTCTCTGTGTGGGAAGTGTCATGGGAGTTCCGATGTAGCTTTGATATCTCCAGGAAAAAAGCGGCAAACAATTTGGTTCCTTCRATATAGTTATGTCTGTGAAGAAGGAAAGAAAGACAATGAAGCCCTGTCAGGCTGCCCTGCTCTTAGAATTAGAAACATAGTCCAGTGAAGTTTTATGAGCCTTCAGAGGAATTTGCAAGATTGATAACCTCSAAAAAGGACCCAGTGCACAGAAATGCTGGACAACTTCAATTTGGTACTCTTCTGGATTTACTTCAGAAAACTTTTTCTAGGTTAACATCCCCAAATTGCTATGGTCTGTACCAAAAATGTTGAGGTTATAATAAGGGGAAGCAAAAAGTAATTTGSCAATTATTGTGGGATTCTCCAGTTTTTAGACTTCAGCATGAGTTGACTCACAGACTGCACAAGTGTACAGACAACATGCTGGATAATGTCTTACCATAATGCCTCCAACAATGAACACAAGTGGCCTTGTTTAAACCTAATTTTTATACAATCACGCTAGTTTTGGTCTCTGAAATATAAGCACATCTTTATAGCTACTTATACTGCAAGCCATCAAAATCCTCACATGACCATGAGTGTTTATGACTAGCACACTTCAAAATAGATGCTGTGATTGAAGAGTACCTTTCTGCACCATCATCTTTCATTCCAGAGGCAAATTTCATTGCTAGTGAAATGAAAATTGCCAATGTGGTGAATTTAAGGACTGAGTAGACACCCCATGAAAAGT